TTTCCTGATCATCTTCTCTGGTTCTGTCTTTCTTCTTCCTCTTTATCGTTCATAATCGCTATACAATGTGGGCGGCAACGAGTCAAGTGCGCCCTTCGGCGTTATGAAAATTATTCCGTTGTTCGATGACATTGTCAAATTACATGGTAAATAAACGCGCAATAAATACCTACGCATTTTTACATTTAGTGTACATCAGTTAAGAAAATTCGTGTTAAATTTAATACATTTCACATGTCTTGAACTGTTGATCTAATTTTTTGTGTTAATTTAACACAAGATGAATATGCATATGTTACAACACAAACATTATGTAAAGATTAATATAAACAGCGTAACATTTTAAAAACAAATTTTGCAGTCATATTTCTTCAGTAAAATGAACTTTTATATTATTTGTTTACCTACTTATAAATTGTGTTATTTTAACACCAAGAAACGTTAAACATCAATTTACATGCAAAATATTCAAATAGCATAATAACATTAGGTTGAATTAACATTCATGTTAAAAGTGCAAATACAAAAAAACGTAAATAAGAATTGATTTTAACATAAATACAAAACGTCTTTTACTACGTAAGATCAGAAGCTACGTACAAGCAAAAAGAAACAAAGAATGATATGCATTGCAAAAATTTAATATATGTACGACAAATGTATGTACCACAGAATATTGATACGAAAATGGTATTATAAAATAACATTATAAATAATAGCAAATAATTATATCCTATCGATATCAGATGCAATACAATATGCTGCGTCGACTTGAATCAAACGCGTTGCCTAATTTTGCATTCTTCTTTTACCATTCTCGTGCTCCAAACGTGCACTTTCATATTTTTTTCTCCTTAATTTCGCACGACTCCGTATAAACTGATTCGCGTCCTCTCATTCTTTTGTAATAAGCCAAGTATTTTATCGGTGCGAATGCACCGCGCTCAAGTTACGTCGACCGATGCATTTTTCCGACGGCCTCTTTTTGCCCCTTCAGGCAAAGGACTGTTGAACAACTTAACGTTGATTTATTACCTGCGAAGCCTGTTCTCGTAAGTTTTTAACTTAAAGCTTAATTACCAAGCTATTTAAGATTGCACATTTGGAAATTGTAAAAATGCCAATTACATTTTTATTATGGGAAAATTGTCGATTCCCCAAGTTGAAGGAAGATCGATCTCTGGCGATCGTCCCGGGGCATCATGCACATATTTATCATGACACTTATTATCGACGTCCATTTTGATGCATTGCTCACCAGTACAATGTCGTGTATTGCGGTATTTTTTTATCTTGTCCACGATCTCCACGATCGAATGTTATTAATGGAACGAGGTTTTTGCAACACTTCTTTACGATCGCACGCGCATCGTTTTTTTTTTTCATTCCCGCGATGTTACATGTTTTAATGCGTTATACCGATGATCTGTCTTATTTTTCATGGTCGGATCTCACGCATTCGCTGTCCATTAGGTCAAGTGCGGCAGGCGGCTATCATTATGCATACACTGACAAAAAAGTTGCTGTTTCAAAAAAATATAGTTGATTCAACTAAATGTAGCAGTCACGGACTATCAAGCGAATATTTGTTAATTCAACTAAATATTTGTTAATTCAAACAACATGTTTTAAATTACAGGATTTTGTTAAATATATAAATATTTGAACTAAATAATTATTACAAACTAAACGCATTGAATCAGGTTTACAACTTTTTTTCTCGGTGTATGCATTTCGTCAGTATTTCTTTTCTTCTATTATTCACGCGTGTGATATTCTTAGGTCTGTTTTCTGTGGCTGAACTAGTGTACACTTTTGGAACTTAAAGTGAGATAGAAATACATTTGATATTTATTTAAAGCGAGAAAGAGCGTTCTAGAACAGTCTAGTGCAGGAACAGAAAACAGACCACTTATTCATTTCTGTTGACTTTTTTCGTTTCCTGGAGACCTAATCGTTTATTATTTGATCAATCGCGCCTCTTTGTTGTATGTCCATTTTATGTCCGTTGTTCTGCCTATCGTTCCTTGTTATTTTTTATTACTCTTAAAACTTTATTTTCTGATTCCTTTTTTCTTAGTGCATCAATGAGGTTGATTTCCTCCATGCATTGCTTGAAACAAAGCGTTTCACACACACACACATAACCGGTTCAAACGAAATACTTTTACAAATGATGCCAAAACCTCGAGTTAATAAAACATATGCTGATTAATAAAATAATTACAGCGAAGTGTTATTATCCTTGACTTTAATTAGTTTAAACTTTTATGATATTTTATTAGACTATATAATTGAACCAAATTGGCCCAATTAGGTTTCCGTCTATAAAAAAAATATCCATAGGTGTGTATGTGTGTATTTATTTATTTTGATGTCTCATCGGAAGAGATTATATCTAAATTATTTTGAATGCCATTAATTGAAGCATTGAAGTTAGAATTGTTTATTATGCAATATTAACGTGATATTAAATACCTCCTGACACAGTTGTAAAATAATCTTGATGGATATTGTTGTTGACATCGAGCATATTTTTTGCTGATGAATATCCGCGCGTGCGATCGTACGAGATTTTTATCGGGAGTTTATAACGAACGATGTTTAGCCAACCGTCTAATTTTATAACAGAGCTCATTTAGCGGTTATATATTATTACGGTAATACTTGGTATAGTCTTGGTGTAAATATTAGATTACTTCCACATAATCCTTATTTTACTTGACATTTACAGCTACAGTTTCTCATCTATACGTCGCATGCAATCCAACTCTACTCAAGACACACAAGCATTCATGCACGCAAATTGCGTCTCACCATAATTAACATTCATGTTATGGGAGTAATTAATTCTGTAACACGCGATCCTTAAGATCACAACGTGTCGCGTTATTCAACATCATATCCTTCAAAAGGTTTTGTTTCTTCCAAGTCTTTCCCGTTAAGTTTGATTTGAATCTTTCCTGGCGCAAGTTGACTTCAACTCATCTATTGATTTATTTTATTTAATTTGTTCTTGCTAAGTTAAAGGCTTTACTTTTTTCATTTGCAAGAAGCAGTTAATTTCACATCGTGCTAAAAGATAATTTTTTTTTGTAAATTAAATTTTAATTTTAATATAATTCTCAATTTTAAATAAAGAATTCTCTCTATTTTTCATTATATTTAATATAATTCTATTCTGTTCGATCAATGTATATATAATTATGATGTATATCAGCGAAATACTATTAGTATCTTTCACAGATCGTTCACATTAATGTAGCTTGATGGAAAATTAGTTGTAGCAATTGTAGTCAATGCCAATCGAGAGCAAATACATAGCTTTCGCGATCAGTTCCGACAGGCATTTTCACTTTGACTGTAGTGAACGTCTCGCAAAATCAATCTTCAGAAGCGATAGAAAGCTAGGAATTTACGAACTATTGTCTTTCGGCATTTCACCTCGTTACATTTGTACGCACCGTGTGTATAAAGTGACTTCGCGTCATCGTATAATTTTGTTACAATAGATTCTTGGAATGAGTCCAAAATGTCGAGGTTAAATAATAACTGAATGAAAGGTGTTCAAAACTGGTAAATCAAGTTAACGAAGGTCGTTCGTTGAAGAGTCTTAATTTCTCATTTTTCATTATATGCCACAATGAAAAGACACACATAAAAACAATCATGATTCGTTATTGAAATGAATTTGATTTCATTTCAATTAATTTGAAAAAACATTATTTGCATAATATATACGACCGTAAACATCAATATAGTGTGGCAGAAATTTATGCTATCATTTAAAACTTGAAATCGTGATTATGTTAAAGAGGTTGTAAGGCAAATGCAATATGTTAAGAACTACTTGAAAAAATTACAGACTATTCTAAATTTCATTTAATAATAATACAAAAAAAAATAGAAACAATTGACCATCTGGATCAAAA